GCCAATATTTCGTTTTGTAAGATCGTAATGTCACAATAGGAAGATGTTGTAGCTGTGGCAATAATTTCAATCCGCCAATCTAGAAAAAACTAGTGTTGGCTATTTACCCAAATATATTTTTTAAACGGGGAAGAACCGTGTGATGTCTGGACAGAAATTAAAATTTATTAAAATTTGGCATTTTATGAGAATTTTTCTCTACCGAGTATTACTCGATAGCGCTCAGCAGAATATCAGCTTAGAAACAAAATCTTTTGTACTGTTAAAAAAAGATCTGGTAACTACTATTGAAGAATAACAGTCAAAATGCAATGTCATAAAATAAACCTGGAACCATGTTGAATCGAGGAACACCAAACGTTTGATAGAACCTCGTTTTTTAACAAAATCGTCTACAGAAGAGGCATTTTTGGAGTAAACTACCAGTACCTGTCAAAAATATATAGTTACTTGACAAAAAAAACGTAATTTAAGCGCGTAATTTAAGCAAAGCATAAGCATAAGCGCTTTAAGCATAAGCGCGTAACGTAATTTAGTAAATACGTCTATTGACTTCAATAAATACAAGTATTATTTCAAGCATTATCCACAAAGATGAGGATCACAACAAAGGAATTACCGTATTTTCTTGTTCATAGTTCGGAGAGTTATAATCAGGAACACTGGACGACTCATACAAGGTAGTGGAAGATGGCGCAAGAAGAAGACAATGCAATGCAGTGCTTTTACTGTTCTTTTCCCGCGGATGCTTGATAATATCAATATGAATTGGCAGCTGGAAAGTGTGTATTACAAGACAAATTCATTTTCTCTTTAAATAATAGTCGGAAAAAAACAAAGTTAACAGATGGTGGTGGTACAACTTAAGATATTAGCTCTTTAACAGTTCCTCTGTCAAATATTTTTGCTCAAAATCAACCCTACATAGCAAGAAAAGGAGATCACTTATCTCCGGATCGTTCTACTCAAATTAGCTCCGATTATCTCATAATCACAACTTTTTTTTGTTTGGAAAATGACTGAATCATTATACTGTCAAATGAAGAACTCAACCTCTAGTCGCGGGACAAATTTCTCTACATTGGGCATGTAAACTTTGCAGCTGTAACAAAAATACATTCGTTTTCGACCACAGTTTGAGCACACTTGTTTTTTTAAACCTTCCAAACTATTCACGCTCGATATTTTCAACCGCTCCATTTCATCTATCGGAAGCTGGAATAGAAAATTAGTACTGAAAGAAATAAATTGAACTTCCAGAAGGCTCCACACTTTTAAATGATAACTAATACTGCATTGCTTTTTCGTAGGAAGCTAACCACATTTAGTAAGTGTTTATAATCCCTTTTCTTACTGTTAATTTATTCAGTTTGCTACACAGAATACGTCCCTCATCTGTTATCAAAAAATCTTTAGCGGTATTAATCCACTGCGAATGAAACAATCAGATCCAACATGGCGGATGAAAAATCCTCATCTTGATATTCAACGTGAAAATAAACTTTTACATAAATCTACCACACTGCAAAGTTTTAAAACTTCAAATTTGAAAGTAACCCATACAAATAGATAACTAGTAAAATTTTCAACAACGTGGAATGACACCCCATCGGAAACACGGAGCATCCCAATACCTTAAAATCCACGAACATCTCCAGGAATACTTCAAAAGCTGGAAATAAGGATCGTGACCTGCATGAATTAAAATGAATTAAAAAACAGGAAAAGCATTTAGTCTGAGATCGACGTTCTGTTTTTGTATGCTAAATCAAAGTAAGGATTTCCCGAATACCTTTGTGTGGAATGCTGCAACAAACACCATCAAGAACTTTATTGGTATATGCGAAGCACATACATCCATCAATGTAATGCAGAGCTTATGAAGAGAGAAAGGGAAGAAATAAAACACTGCAAAGCCTATCGAAACTGTTATAAACATTAGACGCAAAATAGAAAGGAGGAAAAATCCAATTTTTCAAATTAGAAATCTTTTTGAAAAGAAATCTGAATCAATGAAGAGGTAAGAAAATGGAAAAATCTTTAAATTAAACAGTCATATACGGAAGATAAATTACTATCCAATGATAATTTCACTTTTTAGAGGGACATGAAGTATTTTTATTCGTGCTGCTCAAATATTTTAGAAAATAACAAAAAGTTCTGATGCAATTTATTTACCTGCAGTGGCTTCCGCAGCCCGCCGCAGTGCAGCACGCTTTCCTACCATAGCAGTAAATCCACTCTTGATAGCAGTGACGGAGCACCGACTACCACAGGTTTTACATTCCAAGAAAAATAAACGTGTATCTTTTGTCAGTTCCGTCTCGGAAGACCTACACGTATGACAAGCAACATATTCTTTAATATACTTTCGCAAAACACTTTCAATATGCTTTTGCTGAAAACGTCCTTTAACGATCAAACAACTGTTGCCATCGATTGAACCAGTTGTACCCAATTCTGCCAATAAAAACTGCAGTACATGCTTTGGTTGTCGTTTCAGTAACCGACAAATTTCAGCAAAATTAGCGAATGCTGTCTTTTTGCTACCAGCACGAGCCACCTGCGGTGGTTTCATTACGAATTTCTTCTTTTCACCGGCCGCCAATTCCGGATTTCGTTCACGCATTATACCAAAAACTAATTCCAGCAGTTCTTCATACGTATAATCAGGCCATGCATTTTTGGAATCGATAAGATTTGATAAACCAGCACCTACGACAACTTCAGGCGTCTCTTCCGAAAGATGCTCCTCATCAACAACAGGCACCTTTGGCGCTTTTTTCTTTTTTTTCGGCCCCAACACCAGTTCTTCTGAGTCTACGACTGGAACTACATTTTCGTCTATTTTTGATGTTTCATCATCCAGTACGATTGGCTTCTTCGACTTCTTTTTTTTACCCGTTAAATCGAGTTTTAAGTCCTCATCCGCCATGTTTCGCCGTTTGTGAAACAAAATCTGAAACAACGAAATAACAAATAACGTCATGATATGAAAGACCAAAAGCCTAAAACAATACACTTGAAGATGAAAACATTCCCAAATTACTTTTACTATTCTTCAAAAGCTCTAAAGTAAAAAACTTCACTATCGAGCCGAGAGTGATCTAACGGAGCGCAACTCTACACCTTAAAATCTTTAAAATATTTACTGGATTGGTATACCAAAATATGGATGGTTCGCAAATGCGCAAAAGCATTTCAGCAACGAATTATGGTTCGCACAAAATGCATCATAACATTTAACGTATCAGGACTTTAACAAGCAGCTTAAAACATAACCTTGCGAATAGAAATCTCAAAACCAAAAGAATTTTCCAACAGCCTTTGATCAGTTTATCATAAATGCACTTCTTTTCTGTGTGCTACAATACAGAAATCAGTGTAAAAGCTGAAAAGGAACGTCACAACAAAATAACTCCCACATGATCCTTCTGCACAGAATGATAAAACTCAACAATTATACTTCAATTATCAAAACTGTGTAGAAAGGCTTTCACTCTAGCGCATCTAAAATGACATCATTCAAAAACAATATTTCAAAAGGAGCAACCATTCCATTTTATAAACCACTAGAAGTTAATCTCACTTCCCCTTATAACTTTCCCTATAAATTATGCCTCTAATATTTAAATTAGTGGGTGGGAGAATGTCAAGGGGGAAGAAAAAATCCTAAAAGATCTGAACCCTGTTTACCTCATGCATCGGGGACTTAAAATTTGAAATCGAAAATGCTAAAAACAAAACATCGCCAGATTATGAAAAATATTTGTGATGGAATTGAAGACCTGCAAAAAAATGAACTGGAACATTTATTTAATCCTTATTAAATTAAATGATTTCTATGACGCAAAGCGATTAATAAGATGAAGGCATTACAAATGATAATTTCTATGATGCAAAGCGATTAATAAGAGAAGTAGGAAACATGAACTAACATTATGAACAATGAAAAGGAAGCAGATACATCAGTATAACATTCCTGTAACAAATTCTTAATCTCTGATTTTTACTGCTTGTTTTCTTACTAATTCATCTTTATCAAAATTCAGCTTAGCTTCCATTGCGTACCCTTTTGTACGGAATGCGTAGTGGAAGCTAGATTTTCTTTTTTTAGAAAAATGTATCATTTAATTATTTTACGCCCGATAACCCTAAGCAATGCTACATTATTTATATTCAACAATAAAACAAAAATGCTATTCGTAGTTTGAATTAGTACAGCAGTATGAATCAGTGAACCTTTTTTATTAAAAAGCGAAAAAAAAAAAAAACAAGAAATACAGAAACTCATCTTCCAACATGATGATACTATATGACATAATTAAAATTAAAGTGAACGGTACATAACTAGCTAATCATTAAATAGAGAAAAATGCAGTGCTTATTAAATGAAAGTAGAGATACCCGCAAAATAAATGTACAGTATGACTAACAAATTGTTCATAACGCACCATTTTACGATATGGAACCGAATAAAGAACTTTGAAAGAGACAATAACGAAAAATAGTTGAGAAAGAATGAAATGCACTATAAGATTTTACTTTCAACGTTTGGTAAAAATATTTGAAAAGAAACGTCGTTTATTCCTTGCATCATTCGTTTCATCACTACTGCAGTCCGCCTTAGTGTGGTTTGTTGTGATAGAGTGGTCTGAACTGGAGAACAGTGCGCGTTGATCACTGCCACTAGAACATGCACCAGTATGATTATATGTGTCTGCAAAAAAGGAAAAAACACTGAAAGTTGTAATGACGACAGATAAGACAGATCACTCTTAGAAATCTCACAACTTTGTTTAACACGCACTCATTCCACTAGCATGAAAAAATATACAAAATGAGGAATTATGGGAAAATTAATCGTATTGTAATTTTTTCTTTTTTCTAACAATTTGTGCATTATAAAAATAAACAAATAATTTAGAACAGAGAACAGTATTTACAGAATAGACTAACCGGTATTATTTGAAATTACGTTCTTGTGGGCTGGACGGCGTAAAACTGAACGGAAATTGAAATTACCGATCTGCTGAACTTCCAATCTGAAATGCTCTTCAGTTTTTGAATTTTTTAAATAATCATTGCTTACAAAATTTAGTTACGTATGAAAATATTGTGAAAACCCCTGCTCTACTTCTGGATTTTACGAAAAAGGCTGTAGTTACTTGATACAAGTTAGCGGTACTATTTGCACTTTTATTAATTGCTCAAGTAATTCAAAAACAGATGACAGCTATCTAAAGCGTAAAAAGAAAGTCATTCTAACACAAAATTTTTAATTCTCACTCTTTTTCAGATTCAGAAGCAACGTCATCCGAAACGATTCTTTTCATAGTATCAAAAAGGGCACGGATGTGAAATCGATCAGCTTTCGAACCAGCAGAATCACTTGAATGGGAGGAACGCATAACCTAAACGATGTTTTATAACTTCTTGAAAAAGCAAAATATCTGAATAATAATATCACCGGATGGATTTGAGGATTTGGAAAAATTTTTTGGTTTTATGAGAAGACAACAACTTTTCTTTCTGTTTGAGGTTAGAAAGTTAAAAAACATCAGTAGTTTCAGCATACGTAATAAAGTAACAATTCATATCTTTACACACCTATTATCACGGACATTAACTTGAACAATATGAGTATTGAGAAATTTCTATACCTGGTGAACTTTAATCGAACCTGAAGATGACTGCTTTAGACCTTTACTTGAATCGCTAAGATAAGGAACTGTTTCATCAGCCATTAACATTAATTCATCAGAATCACCTCCTGCAAAAATATAAAGATAAGATCTTTCAATTTTTTCATTATCGATTTTTTTTCATTGTGTGCATTTTTTTAAATTTTTAATTTTTGGCGTGCATTTCGCTAAAAAATTGACCTGATGAATTATTTGCAAAACTATCGACGCCTAATCGTATTCAATTCAACTGGTACCATTTATCAATTTGTAATAAGAAATTAACAAATTACCTGAAGCATTCTCAGTAATGAAACCACATTTTACACCAGAATATGTTTGTGCAACCCGATGTGATATTATATTCCCACTTGCAGCAGAAACGACGTTCACTGCGTAACCCCGACGTTTACTAACACCACCCCATGACAGCGAATCTTCTCTATAACGATATGAATTCATTTAATCTAACAAACATAAAAAATCGAAAAAAAACCATTCACTGTAGAAACCCTACAAGTGAAAAAAACAATTACTTACATTAAAATAAAATTTATCAAAATGTAAACGAAAACAATAATTACCGGTTATGAGTAATTATTTCCTGCCGAGTGTGTTGCTGATTTTCGCAACAATGCTCATCACCTGAAAGTTTCCAAATTCAAACAAAATGTTCGGAATGAAACTAGTGACTTGAAGTTTTATCAATCAGTCCCGACTTATGAATATTTTCATTGGGATAAGAAATAATCCGCAGAAGAAACAGTCCACAAATAATCCATATGTCATCTCGATATGCATGAAAAGAAGCAAAAAAACCAAACATTTATTTTTGTCTGACATTTCATTTAACTAAATACCTTTAGCTTGATAAATAATAGACTGATTGAATGACCTGATTTTGAAAAATCATTACAAGCAATGGCGTGCTGTGATGATGGACTCAGATCTCGCTCACGGCAGTACATCTGAGTTACAAAAACACGTCCACTGGCACTATCAGTGAGTGACTTCGCATCAACAACTGAACCTGACAAAGCAACAATGCTTGCCACTTCTTCGCAATAACTCACCGCTTCTTGACCAGAACAGACTGTATGCAAACTCTAGAAGCTTTAAAATATCATCTATTATTCAAGTTTACTATTGGATTCATTTTTTTACTTTTTCTATTATAAAAAAATCATTAAACTGTAGATATATCAATAACAGAAACAGGACAAAACTTTTTTTAGAAGATGATCGAAAGAGCCACTGAATAAAAATAATATGAATAACATATTTATGTTTTTTTTACGACAATTAAAAAACCAAACTCCAAAATTATTCCATCCGCGTGACTGTACCTGAAAACCCATGCAAAAACTGAACTTAACCTTGTCATCATTATACTGAGAACCAGCCATAGCTTTGGTGCTCGCTTCCTCATAGTTATACTTTTCGCCTAAGCTGTTGATTCCTGAAAGTCTACTGATTTGAATAAAAGGAACAAACGTATTCAATGATGTGTCGTTTTCCCAAAAAATGTAATAATAAATTTACCTGATTCTATGCTGGGTCTGCGGCGACATAATTCGGCTTGCACCTGTAAACGGCTAGGTATTTGCTGCGCGCTCGACAACCCACTATTTACAGATATTCTGGTAATGACGGATGTACCATCCTGCCGCTCCATATCGTTCAACAACGGAGATTTCTCATGATTACCTGCAACAAAAAAGACAGTCACAAATTCGTTTATCCTATACGTGTTATTTTAAATCGAATAGCAGACAAGAGATCTGCAGGAATTATGTATCAAAACTCACGCATATTCACTTCATGCCAAATTTCATCATCATCAAGATCGTCTTGATCAGGTTTTGATGAACCACTACCAACACCGCATCCACCATTTCGACATAAAGACAGAGGTACGACACCATAAACATAAGCTAGCATAATGGGAACTCCTACACCTGTAAATGTAACCCAATGCTAATGTATCCAGAAGACACAACTAATTAATATTCCTCCCTAATAAATTAATAAAATGCTAAGTAATAATCCAGAATTTGTGATTCGTTATATTGAAATGGTCAAAAAAGTGAATGGAAAACATTATTTCTTATAATTAAAAAAAAAACCAATATTTTTCTATAACAGATGAACTAACCAACAGCCATTACAGCCAAAACTGGACTAACGACTAGTGAGCCTACTACACTTCCAGCCGTTAAACAACGTCTACGAATTTTAGTTAAATGAGCAAAGCGCTGGTTCACTTTCCTGAGAAATATTAAAAAATAAATTATTTAATATGACAAGAACTGAATAATACCAAGCAGTTATGATGCTGCAAAAAACGCTGCAAAAAAAGTAAATGAAATACATATAACTATTTAAGAGCGGATGGCACATTTTCTCTGCATTCCACAAATTACGACTGTCTGTGTTACTAATCTGGTGTTCAATGTTACGTCTCGATCAGTTAAATTGAACTAGATAGAGATGAAGGGACAAACTACTGGTGGTTTGAAAAAACGAATTATGGTGATTTGAAAGTGGTCATACTGTTGTGAAGCCGGCCAATAATAGACAGAATTCAGATCAATTAAGCAATACACTGGCGAATTATTGTACTTATCGGTTTCGAAGAATCAAGTGACTTTTAATACAATGGAAAAAATAAAGACTAGAATCGAATTACCTTCCAACAAATACGGGTACACCAAAAATTATGCCTGGGATTGCCAAACCTGCAATCAGTGCAATACCAACAGGTGCACCAATCAAAGTCCCAACCTGACACAGTAATTTCTTCTTCCTGGTCCAAGGTTTTTTTCCCCAAAAAGTGCAGCCTGTAGGACTGAAAGAGCAAAAAATTATCCAGCTCATTCTTTTCGATGCAAAGTTTTTTTACTTATCCAAAAAACTGAATAGAAACACCGCAAACTATCAAATAAATCCACTTTTTTGCAGTTCGGCTTTTTTCGTAGAATAACTGTCGAGTAGCACTTTTTAGTGAATATTTTATTGGTCAGCGTTGAACGTTTACTATTGATATAAAATATATCAACTAAACTACCTTAGGTAATGCAGATCATTGATTTCCCGCAAACAAAGCCAGCAGAACTGAGCGCTGCACATCGCACAGACCATATGATTGCATGAACCATCATTCATTTTAACGATGTATGTACGACATCGAGGACACGCTTTGATATCTCCACCTAAATTCAATCAAATAATAAACCTGAGAAATAAGACTGAAACATTGCTTTCATCGTAATGCATTCCTACAGTATGTATGAACATTAAGTGGACTGTCAACTAATTAAAAATGTTTGTGTGAATGTCATTTTAAAAGTGATTTTAGAACTGTATGCCTTATCCAAAAGTGTTTAACAAAAAGGTATAATGATTTAGAATGAAATAAAAAGGGTTAATAAGTTTTCAAAACAAAAAAAAACGTTTTAGGGTGCTTTCTTGTGTAGCCGAAAGCTGTGGCACTGCTCGTCGATATATTTCTCCACGTTCCTTACGAGCCTCATCACATGTTTGACTGGCATGCCATGGTCCTTTGCAGTGATAACAAAAAAGTGCACCACAACCGGGACGTTCACAGCGTAGTTCGGGACAAGCAGCACATGCCGTTGCGATAACCGCGTACCTAAATTTGAGCACTAACTTCTGATAAAACAATCGAGGCACCTACAGTTTAATTATGTTTGTCTGCTATTATCTTCATATTTGAAAGACCTTTTCTACCATTCAATACATCATTCGCCGATAATGGCACTTTTTCATACTAGTTACGTTCTCACGAATCATTTCTTCGGATGTTAACGGTAGTTTTGATCTATTAAAGTCTACCATTAGTTGGCAGTGTCTTAAATTATTGCGAAAATCCAGAAGCAAATGTTGCTATCCTTATAATCACGTGGCCATTTCCACTCGTGCCGACACGTTTAGAATTTCGTGATGGAATTCATGTTATTAATAATTACAATACCCATAAGTAGATTTGTTTTTCATTATAAACGGTACTTTCCTTTTAGTTCAATTGCTATCACAGTCTATTAGCAACAGCAAACGCAGACTGAAAACATGATTTTTTTTTCACTAATACCTACCATGAATCCATTACAGTTTCATATTTTCGAAAACAAAGAAAAGTTTAAAATTAAAAATGGAGAAACTAACGTGCAGTCAGGTGCTGGACACCATCGAGTATCTGGATCCATCATTAGAACTCGTCTCAGTGAAAATGTTTCATATTTTTCGATTAAATCAGGACAGTGTGCCATTAAGTAGTAGATGTCGCTTGGATGAAGCAGTTCACTGCATTCTGGACATGTTAACTGTATCCTGCTTTCCATTATCTCCACTTGCAAGTACTGCAAATAACTTAGAAGTCTAAAGAAAACAAAAAGGAATCGCTTTCTAATAAGTATATTAGCAACAAAAATGTTACGAAAAATTTTCTGTACATCTTAAAGTTTTTATTGCTAACTGAAGAAGGGGCGATGTAAAAAGTCACTTTAACTAACGAATCAACAGCAACAATTTGAAGTTGACTTTGTTCATTTATGTCTGTTTCTGGCATGAATCCGTCACTATCAGATGATAAGTAGTACATAATGGCTGGATCTCAGTGATTCAACAGAGATGCTTTAATCGAAGAAACCTAACCTGTACAAGACAATTTTTACATGATCTATGGCTGCAGCAGGAAAGACGGGGAAAGTTCGCTAACGGTTGTCGAATGAAGCACAATGGACATTCCCAATGTTTTCGAGTCGGAGCAGAGGAACCGTTCAATGGTGAATGTTGTGGTGCTGGTTGTAGTGAACTGATATCAGATATGACCACTGCACCAAAACGTGAAGATTCATCATTAATGTTTTGTAATGTCTGCTCAAAGTCTGATTCGCTACCATTAATACCAAACCCTAATAAGAATAAAAACCTGAAATCTCTTACTGCTTCACACACCTCAAGAGACTTCAAACTGCTTTCCTTTCTACTGCTAAGTATATCCACTTTCAAAGTACGGAATTAGAACAAGTGTATTTCATTCCGTTAACTGCCCCTAATATCATTTATAATGGAATAACTACATAACTAAATGGTATAGATATTTCATCGTGTTTTAAACGTAACAATAGCTGAAGAGTATTGAAGGGTGGGCATATTACTGCAAGCTTCATCTATGCTAATAAAAAAAAATGTTTCTTGTTGTTTGATAACGGAAGGGGTTGTAGAGTAATTTAAAAACTGTTTGATATCTCGCATCAAATCCTTTTTTTCCCATAAAATCTATGTACAAAAAAATAAAATTTATTTTTCAAAAAAAATCTAATCCATTTTTCTTAAAAAGATCTATTTTTCCTCTTTTTCTATTTTTCATAAAATCTATTTTTCCATAAAATCTCTATATCCTACATTCAAAATGCAGTCTAATCACCAGATATTATGTTACCGAATATATTGGTGTTCTTAACAAAATGCAATAATGCACGAAAGTTACCTTGTTCATCTTCACTATTCGCAAATTGCGATTGTCCACCAACACTTGATGAACAGCTATCTTGGAGAATTCTCGAATCTAACTGTGGTACTGAGCCAGCATTTGCATTAGACAATTTACGTTCGTTAATTGTTCGATTCATTTCATCGATACCTTTTGATGATGCTATATCTATTACACTACTGCTTCTGAAACGAAGACAGCTTTATTCATTTTTCGTTCACAATGAATTTTTTAAATTTTCATATAAAACCAATAAAAATTTCAAAAGAAAAACTGATTTTCATCTTCCATCCTTCACAGGCCCTTGTTTTGTACCAATTATAGACTTGAAACAATTCTATTACACTACTACAGTACACTTCATGTCATTACAAAAATGACTCCTCGTAATAAATCAACTTTTTTTTAAATATGGATTCTTGGAGGAAATAATATAATAATCAACAACAATAAAGGAGCTTTTGGAGAGACGCAATACACGACAATCTTAATGTTGGGATTTTAGAAAATTTGTGTTAGTCTATATTCAGCAATAATTAATAAAATTTCGACTATTCAGGCGATACATATATTTGATAAAAGATGTAACAACGCAAAAAACAAATACGAAATAAATTATCTGCATGAAACAGAAGCAACTATTTACAGAGAATATTCTCACATCTACGATAAGTCAAGACAGAAAATAAAGATATCAACTATGAACAATTTATTCGCTAAGATAGGGACATTCAATACTGGCGATTTAGACGAACGAAAAAACATCAAGTTTTGTCGAAAACTCGAGAAAAAATATTCCATTTAGAGAAACTAACATTTTATAATTTAAAATCAAATAATGATCAGCACTAATTACCACAACTGTTTATTAAAATTATCGAACGATAGATGTCATTGAACTATTAGCGTTTATTTACTAGAAAACTATTAGCGTTTATTTTATTTACTAGAAAGCGTTTATTTAGTTCACTGAAATCAAACAACTAGCATTATTTCCCATAACTGTTTAATTAAGATGATAATATATATTTTAAACAGAATGGAAAGACAGAGATTACTCAACTGTTGAATATAGATATTTTCGTTTAAGGTTCCAAATACAAATCGAACAGCTTTATGTCAAATGAAGAACTTTTTCACAAAAGTGATTTACTCGTACACTACATGAATAAACATCAAACGCAATTTACACATTACGAAATCCTTGCTTTTCATTTGCCTATGTACATATCCAACTATCTCCCCTTAGCAACAACAAAAGCCAAAATGCAGTCAAACATTCAATAGTTTCCCATTTATTTTCCTTATCTTCATAGATTTAAAATGGATACTGAAATTCTATGATACTCGATCTGACACAATCATATCTTCCGATTCCAGTAGCTTATAAGATTTTTCTCCAGAACCTACGCATAGCTCCTACATTTTCTCATTTCCTCCTGTTTGATGTACTTTTTTTGGTATAACTGTATACGACCCAGTTCAACGAGAGTTAATAAATTAATTTGCAACTTCCGAAAAAAAACTTTTCAATATAAGAAAATTTTGTTTGAAGCAAGCTTGCAGCAGTGTTTTGTCAGTTTGAATTGTTAACGTATCTAAATAACTTTTTTTTTTACCATTCTGAGACGTTACTCAAATTCAGTTATTTGGAAGTAACTGTTTTCTATCTTGTCCAATTTTATCTACTATTCCAAACTAGTCTTTCCTGGTCCTACCCTGGTAAAGAAAATAGAGAAGAAGATAGAAATGATTTCGAAATCACAGCCAATCATTTTTCGTGTAGTGAAATAACTTAAAGTTATAATAGCTGACCTAAATACTTGCTATCTTATAATAATTTACTAGAACTACTTATGTTCACATCGCCATCAGTGTCTTAGATGCAATTTAGGGATAATTCACGACACCAAATGCAGACCACCTACCAAAATATTATCTTATCTACTTAGATGCTGATTCATTCCCTCACTGATAGCTTTTTCCCTGCAATGTTTTACTTCTGAAAGCACATATTTAGAAATAAATTTAGATTCGAATGTTGCTTTACAAGGAAGAGTAACGGCCTAGTAAGAGCTAACACTTATGAATGGAAAGTGAAGGTGTCGAAAATTTACAATCTTTCAGCGAAACCGAAAAAATACTGTATTTTATGATTGTTCGAATACTCCGTTACACCAACTACAGATCGTCGGGAAGTAATTTTAGAAAAATCAGTGGACGAGAAGTAAGATTAGTATCGATAGGATTGGCTAGCTACAATCCATATGTAACTGTAAGCCAATACTCTTGACTTATTACACTACCAAATCATAAAGGTTAAAAACGTATTCTTAAGGTGGAAGGCCTAAAGGATGATGTAGTAGCAGATAGCGTACCCTTGTGAGCATAACATATAATTGTAATTACAAAAACAATGGAAAGTAGTAACAATACACAAAACAGATGAAATCTTGCTAGTCAATATGAGAGAGAACAAGCACGAACCTGTTGTATTTTCGATGTGATCTGGCATGAAATAACGATGCGAAATTCAATCTAGATGGTTTCGCGTGAATCCACTTCCCCTTATCCTCTTCATCATTTTTCGTTATCACACCATATTTTTCTTCTACAAGCAAAACAGTATAAAGCCCCATTGCTTAAGCTTTTACAAAAATAATTACATGTCTGCAATTAATATCTAGCTCAGGACGACCGGTGAATTGATAAATTCTCCCGTTTACCTCTCGAACAAAATTAACCTTATCTAAAACCAAAGCTACTCAAATTTGAGTCCTTTCCGGAATAAAACAATTTTAGTGGCAATTTTCTTTATTCTACATGATACAGTAGTCTCGGAGAGATGCAAAAGTGTGTTCTTCTCCCTCTTCTCCAGAAAAAAAGAAAAATGACTTGGAATCATATCAAGTTGATGAGAACAACTGGACTTTCCTTATAATAATTTGTTCCTTACCGGTTAAAAGTCTTGAACTATTTAAAACTGAAAGATCGACATCTCCTAGCAAAGATACCGAATCATCGCAAAGCTCTGTACATTCCGTAACAGTTCCAAGTGTCTTCTTCTGGCTCATCAATATCGATACTGCAAAACATGTTCGGATATGTAAATGGGTATGCATATGCATAGATGGATGAACTCTACCCATTAAAATTTACTCGAACAAATTTGGTAAATCTTCAACATTATATTATATCAAATATTTGAAATGAACGAAACAAGACACAAATGCTGATGTACTTCACGTAATTCACGTTAACCTTACTACTCTAAACTACATGTAATAGATGCACAAAGCACAAAAAAACACGATGAAAGCAGGAAAGGTAAAATGGGACGCAGATGTGATACCAATTCCGTCCCACCGTTTAAACACAAATATCAAAATGAGATGAAGTAGACAAAATATACTGAGATAATGGATGAGTCATTCGTTGTTCCAATCTATTCTTTCAAGCTACTTGCTACTCTATCAAAATCTTTGGACGCAATGAACAAGGGAATAAAGACAGGTCACTGGATACTTCCTCTTTTGCGTGTACTTTGGTGCCTTACACTTAATTATACGTCATTTGCACTGGAAATTCCATATGAAATATTCGAATTCACTTGGAAAGCGCTATTGTCCAACGCACTATTTGGTTGGAAAAGCGAGAGAAACAACAACCGATAGTACACAGCTGACAAAGGATGATATGTTGGGACAAACTCTTCCACTCCAACTATTCATCAAAATCACTCGCCACCATTGCTTTTCATTAATATAATTTTCTTTCTTATCTCTGTCTCCCATCCATTTTTTCTCAATTTTTCTTTTCATCCATTGCAATCATTAAATACAGTAATTCTTAAAAAGATCTCTTAATCTCTACTTGACATGTTCTCTTTTTTACTATGCTGCTCTCTTTCTTCCACCATTTATCTTACCTATTTCCTGATCATTTCTCTCGTCTTTACAGCTGCAAAATTTGATGGGTTCTTGAAGGGTCAGGTTTGGAGATGAATAGCTGACGTGTTCCAGTTGGCGCACTTCACGTCCTCTGAATGTTAGGTATTAGCGGTATTGTGGTGTTTCGGTTCAGTTTATAGTAAGGATGATTTTAAAATGGTGAAGGTTGATGGACTGTAAAAGTAGTTCCTTATTGTGGATCTAACTCCGATATCCAGATTTTGTCACTTGAATCTCTTGAAGTTCTACAACCTCAGTTCTTTACTGCTGAATAACTCCTTGAGAACTTGCTTACCATTGGTGCGACTCTTTTTCATTTTTCTTCATTTAGTCTTTGTGCTCATTCATATTCTTTTATGTTTTTTTTCTTTTTTAGATTTATTTGTGAAGCTAAGAATAGATTGTAAGATGAGCAAGACGCATCCACCCGAACTGAAAAAATATATGGACAAGCAGGTTGACCTGAAATTGAACGGCAATCGAAGTGTATCAGGCATTCTTCGTGGTTTTGACCCGTTCATGAATATTGTTGTTGAAGACGCTGTCGAAAATTTGAAGGTTACATCGTATCTCTCTTATACTTATGTAAGCAGTAAGACTAAAATAATCGCTTATTTATGAATAAGATTTTACTTCATGAATTCGTAGGGACAATACTATTGTAATGATCTCTTAAATGAGATGAAGTGTTCATCCTCAGTATAAAGGTGGTACACCCGCTGATGCAGTTGTTAGTAGGTTGATTGAAATAGACGTTCTTTGTAAGTAGTGTAGAGACTGGATGGTTAGAAAACAGATCTCAGTTGACTTGATGTGCCATCTTCATTTTGCTTCTATCTCCTCTGACCTCGTATAATTAGATTTTCCTGCAGTTGAAAAAAACTGTTGTTCAGTATTTTTGCTGTGGCAGCAGTCCTTTCGGATTGCCGAACTGATAATTGATAAAGCTTATGCATTGTAGAATGGTGATAAAAACGAGATTGGAATGGTTGTTATTCGCGGAAACTCAATAGTCATCATGGAACCCAAAGAACGGTTGGACCAACGATAAAGTTTTCTTTAGCTCGTCATTATTTTTGTTGCCATTGCATTTTTGTTTTTTAAACCGTTTTTTTCCAATTTATGATAATCCTTGTTTACATTCGTTTTTAATTAAAGTTCTGGTTGGTCCTATACTTGCAATTTCCATTGCTTTAGTAGCCTTCCTTTTAGTTCCGGATTCAGTATAAAATTTTGGGCAAAGTCATTCGATAGACTTTTTTACTATTTTGATCTACTTAGTTTCCTTGCTATTTTCTGTTAAATTTACACTAAGACGCTTGGATACTGAAATTAGGATGCGGTTCAAGTGTGTTTAATTTGGTTTTCATTAAAATTTTACTTTGGTTGTTACGCTCCTGCCAGCGCTGCAATGTCTGTCCAGTTTTCATCAGACTTCCTCGCTGTCTCAATGTTATATTAATGCTGTCATGTTCACGGCACTGCTTGCTTCTTGGTGTTGTATTTTAAGAGAGTTTTGACTTTAAGGATACGTATTCTTTTTTCGAAAATAAAAAATTGTTGGAACACTGCTAGAAGTGAAAGAAACGACTAAAATATAACATTGGGTCTTACTTCACAACAACAGTTACCCACTCTATTACTTCTAGATTCTCGCAACTAAATATCCATTTTTAAAAGTTCGGTAATGTATAATTCTTAGTGATGAAGGATTTCTTTACTGACTATTCCCTTGGAATAACATTGAGATCAACGGAAGAACTGAATATGACGCAGAAAAAACACCGCGAGGTTTTTGAATTGCTGCACGATATTGGTTCCCATGGTGTTCAATTCCCAAACTTGTAATTCCGTTTATTACTGAAGCAAGTAGTATATAACGTTTATTAGATCATATTAAATACTGGCATGGTGGTGCATTTAAATACCATTGTGGCTTAGCTGTTTTACATCACAGAAAGAAAGGTAAATAAAATTATTCGTGAGAGTTTTATTGAATAAAAATCAGTCTGATACGAACTGATGACTAGAACAAATTGCAAAGAAAGAAATTTTGTCTGAAATCCATTCGGTATGTTAATCTGTTATCGTTATCCGATTTCGATTGCATGGGGTAGTTTCTTTGGCGAAAATATGGTCCTTTGGAAAAAAGGCATTTTTGTAATGGGTTTTTTCTTTTTTGAAATTTTACAAGGAACTTTCACCAAGCAACGAGTGCAAGGAAGGTTCAAACAAATGAAATAGATGAGGCTTCAGTGGAATTTGTTTCAAACTTACTAGGTGTTGGTTTATTTATTTGTTTTTTTTTTCTACCATTAACTTCTAACTTCCTGTTCGTTTGCAGTATCGTATTTATTCCACATTACTTGTAGCTGGGAATTTAACCTTTTTATGGAAGTCCCATCTAGTATGCCGTTAGTGAATGCATTTGAACAGAATACACCACGAATAAACTTCAGTTACAGCAAATAATTCCCCAAAGATGATTCATGTCTCAACAATCAAAGATTTTTTAAATTTTTTGGGTTAAAAATATCTTAAATTTAGGACTAGGAGACCATACTTTTGGTTTCAAATAGCTCAACTTTTGTTCATTTTCTGATTTCTAATATGGCATGTCTGCCTTCTCAAACCGTCTATTATATTCAATAGCCCACTCAACAATTTAATGCATTTATCACTTCTGTGTTTTGTTTGTTATCCTCATTAATTCAGTAAATTCATCCATGAGTGTCGTCAATTCGTATATCTGTTCCAATAACTAAACTTATTTTTCCATCTCACTAATTGACTTTGTGAAATCAAAAAATCACAACAAAAATAACCATTAATCAAACAAACAAACAGATAAAAGCTAAACAATATTTAACGTTCAGTAATGTGAATCCATTTCTATGTAAAATGGTTCTTTCATCAACCAATAATTTGAGGCAACCTTTTCGTTTACCTTTTTTCTCATATTGCTTCTAAAATCTTTGTTCGCTGAGAATCGCCAAATTCGCGCAATGACAGATTGACCGTAGTGTTGACGTTGCTACCAATCAGTAGGTCATCATCGTCATCCAGATTTAGGTTACTGTAATTTTTCGTTAGCTAGTTGTTAATGGTAATTTGCCTTTTTGATTCTAAAATTACCGAAAGTGTATTGCATGAGTGAAGAGAGATGCACGTTGATCGTGTTATTAGTTTGATTCCGTAGCTTCGACATCATTAAGTGTGCAATACTGCGCCACTTTGCAATCAAACTTTACAACCAATGATCCATTCGCTATCGAAATACAGTATAGAGTTTTGACAGTGTATGGATCACTGATCAGTGTGACGAAACATGTGACTGTCACTAAGATTATAAACATTGAAAATCTAAAGAAAAGTGAGTTTAAATTGAAAGAAAACGGAAACGAACATATCCTCGAGCTCATCATTATCTTGATCATCTGCCATCAGCGCTTCATACTCTTCCAAGCAGTACCTATCCCAATCGTTCAATTCCTCTTCACCATCAGTCTGTAGTTATAGGAATTTCTCAAAAATCTTTCAAATTTCTCATTGGAAGTGGAAGGTATGTAAAGAGCGGGAAAAAAACAAATTGCGCTCTATTGAACAAATTAATCAAGCAAAAGTCAAACCACTGTAGCTCGCTCTCCTTCATTAGCTTCCTGTTCATAGTACTTCACCCAGTTAACAAATGTATTGAAAAATCTGGTACATAACGGGCACTTCTTCAAATCCGACAGTGAAACGACATTCGGTTGCTTCGGTCGTATTAAATCTAACAGCTGCAAAACACATTCAATTTAAAATTCCTGAAATATTGGCAATTCGGCAATTATAATTAAAGCATGTGAGAATTCTTTCTTGGTGCGAGTAAATTATGAGCTTACATTACAAACTACGTCATCGAAACGCATTGAATCGATATTGTGCTGATCCATTTTATTTTTAACACCGTTGTAGAAATATTCCATCTCGTACATTGATAATACACCATCACCATCCAAATCTAGGCATCGAAACCAGTACTCCACGCTGTAAAATTTGTAAAAATTCAACAGACTTATGTGAACGACGAATGTCGGAATTTCGGTTTGTACACATCCAGTTAACCTTCCAGTGAACATAAGCCATTTGGTAGAAATTTCATGTAACTCATTTGTCGACTAACTTTGATCTTGTTATTGCTCCACTAAAATTTTTTGTAATCAAACACACAAAAACTAAATACCTAGTAGGATGCCTCTTATCTTCTTCCGCAAGTAAAAATGCTACAAAATCAGTGTAACCGATGGTTTCAAGCGCCTCACGGATACGCTTTCCCGCTGGTGATCTTGTCACTGCTCCGCTAAATATCCTATCGATAATTTGTGGTGGAAGTGCTGGAAATGAGCAGCTTGAATTAAAATTTAATTAATATTAGTATATACTTATGCGTTAGCAATAGTGATAGCAATAGGCACAATTAAATGTAATCATTGTGTCACAACTATAATAATTATTTTAACCTCGTAAATGGTAAAATGAAAACATAAAATCACATGGAAATATATTATCTAGATGTTCTCCATAGCAAAAAACATATTAAAATTTCTCACCTCCGTTACAATGTTGCGACATATCGATTTTGCTGATAATCAAGTCGTGATCTTTGTCTAATTCATAAAATTTAGCAATAAATTACATAGAAATGCTCATAGCTGAAGTAATTTGTTATCGCATGGTAGATTTAAGTGAATTCGGATAACTAAAATAATAGAATTACCAGAAAGTACAAATATATAAATCTTTTGAGGGAAGTATAAGAAATATAAATCTTTCAGAAAGAGAAATCTCTGGAAAAGATTGATATATTTATGCTTTCCCTCATGCAGTTTGCTGATAAGGAAGAGCATTGGTAACATTATGAAATTATTACAATTTAGCTTAGTACTATTCTAAAAGATTTGTATATAATGACAATATATGGATGGTTATT